GTAACACAAGGTGCTAAGTATTATTTGGAATAAATCAAAAGCATAGAGATAAGATAAATTTATTTTCTGCTCTTTATAATTGCAAAAGTACCCGAGTAGTAAACTCCGATCCGTGAAACTTTGTTCCATTAATGACGAACTCATATCACTCATATGCATGTTTGGGAAGTGCCTAGGCCGACTCCCGGTGCTTGATGGTTATGACTAGTCGGGCAGAGTGTTTAAACGTAATGAGTCATCTGCTCGGGGAAATCAAAATTGACGAGAGGAGAAATACATACTTATAAACATTTTAAAATACTTGAATTTTCCTCAAGTATTATATTTACATCAGATACTACTCATCCTATATATTTGTTCTGCAGGATCCAGATCCAGATATGCATAATAGGGATTAATGGCTTTAAGCTTATCTCCCACGCTTCAGGAATGGATCAGTCAGAACATCACCACCGGCTTGCCTCCGTCCGCCGCCGACTAGTGTTTTCGCCTGCACGGCTGGCCTTTATGCCACCGTTGTTGGGTGTCCACGTCTTCACCGACCGGCCGCCTCGTCCGCCGCCGACTGGTGTTTCCGCCTGCACGGCTGGCCTATTATGCCGCCGTTGTTGGGCGTCCACGTCTTCACCGACCGGCCGCCTCGTCCGCCGCCGACTGGTGTTTCCGCCTGCACGGCTGGCCTATTATGCCGCCGTTGTTGGGCGTCTTCACGGCTGCGCGTCGCCGCCACCGCAAATAAGCGTCATCACATTCAACGCAAGCTGTCTACGTCTGCTGCCGACTGGCTTGTTCACCTCCACGGCTGCGCGTTTTCGTCATCATTCTACTTCTTCCGTCGTTGATTGCTTTGTCACCATGGTAGAGCGATTTCATCTTTATTATCTTCGGCACCGGCAAACTCTATTGCCTCTACTTCGCAAGCCTTGCTACTTCACCAACCACGACGACTACAAGAGAATTCTACTCGGACATCTTCAACATGCATCTTCACTCAAGCAATGGTTACTTGACGACAAGAAACTATAGTTTTCGATTCTATGTTCAGTTGTTTCCCAACTAACCAAAGAGTCGGGGGGCTACACAAATACACGGCTCAAAATTCGACAAGCTTTATGTCAAGATGAAGCAATCAATCAATACGAGTCAACTCGGGGAGTTATTATCTTCGTCTTCACTTCAGAGCCGACATTTAATTTCAGCGACTCCGATTATTACACCAGAGTTTGGAGTTATCAACCAATCAACTCAGTTTTGACGAGTTGGACAACAACATCTACTTTCCTCCAAGTGAAGCATTTGCAGCAGCTATAACACCAAGTTCTACTGTCATCTTCATTAATCAAGGGGCGTTGCATCAGTCTTCTTTATGCACACGCTCACATCAAGGAAACTTCTCAAGCTTTGATATCTTCTCAACAGTTTGATAGATTATTGTCACTGACATCATCACCATCACCTCTGCTTCATCGGCCCTGACATCTCCGCTGTTGCTAATGGATGATTATGTCTTCACCGACTTATTATTTCACCTTCACGGTTGACCTACTATGCAAATGCTGATGAGCGTCTTCGTCATTATCATTGGTTGCGACACTACTATTGACTGGATCGCCGACATCGTCATCTTCATCATGTCACTTTATCACTGGGCGCCTTCCTATTCATTGCTGGCTGACCTGACTGTTGTCGACTGGTTTCTTCGCCTCCACGGCTGTGCAACTTCATCACTTTTGATTGGTATCACTATCTTCACTACCACCAATATTTTTGCCACCTCTGGTGGGCAATATTATCTCTATATTGGTCGTCTTGTCTCTATGCTAACTGCGTCAGCTACCTTCAATGGACAATTGTGACTACGATAGAAGGACAAACTATATGCTCAGGGGTTTACTAGCTCAAACACAAGTATCATACCTTCAATTTGGACTTATTCCGGATACATGCAACATGAATTTATGATCATGAGTTTATTTTCTATGCTCAAAGACTGGACTATTTATTATTCCCCGTCAGGGTTATCAACCGAATACTTGCGCCAGTCGGGATTCAATTACTATATCTATTTGGGAGTATCCCATAAGGGATAATCACTCAGATCAGAAGCTATTCATATGAGCTGTACTTGGTCTATATCACCCGGAAGATTTATCACTCGGGAGCATGTTACATGCGTCATCCTTTAAAGGGTGTCGAAAGCATATTTTTTTTTGGCTTAGGCCTAATATGTCTGCAGCTCATATTTTCAGGTGTGGCCTGTCACGTTCTTTTAGGGACTTAGGCACTTTTTGCTTAGGCCAAAGTGCGCGTGATCAAGTGCCCAATACCTTAAAATCCTTTTATACCGCAGTTACTCAACTTTTTAGGAGTTGGTACAATGCATTTTAAAAGGTGCCAAACAGTAATGCTTTATATAGCTGTTCGCTGACTTTTTTATATAAGTCAAGGCGTTGTTTGGGTTCGTAAAGCAATTGATTCGATACAATATCATTGCTTTTTGCCACGTAAGTGTGCACTTTTATTGACCAATATTATGGCTTAGGCTGATTATATATTTTGGTCATTTTCCAGGCGGTTGTTAAATCCTTTATGAGTTTATTTACTCGGATTTTATACCACATATGCCATATATTTTCAGGTGTGGTGAAACCATGTGTCTTTTAGGGACTTAAGCACATCTGTTAAAGTAGTGTGCGCATGGCGTATGCCCAATACTTTGGAAATTTCTTTATTCACAACATACAAGCTTCTTTATAGCTGTTTTGCTATGTGAATTTTCAATGATGTAGCCAACTTTAGGTTACACTTATCATATTTTACAAAGCAGTCGGTATATCACTCGGATCATGTTATTCAGGGATTCACACCGCATATGCTACATATTAATATCGAGTCGCTTGGTTGACTATAATTATCGAAGCCACTCGGTTGGTTGGATTATTTATTCCTTGACTATATGCTTTGTTTGTTCAATTAACCACACAGTCGAGGGCTACACCTATTAGGTGCATCTAGTCGATGCACCTGACTTTATTTTTCAGCCCTCCACAGTCTTCTGATTTGATTAAAGTACTCGAGAGATCAAGGCGAAGATGATTGAAGCACTCGGCTTTGGAATAATCTAGTTCGAGAGAAGATTATCTTTTCGACTGTGAAGGTCTCAGGGGCTACTGTGGAGATTATGGGTACCCCATACCCACATGGCATGGTTATTCGACTGGTTATAGGGGATAACTTATATCTATGGAATATGTAACGGATCATGACTTGGGTATTACGTTTCCCTGTATATTATGGAACGGCCTAAAGTCCTAGTTTGATAATATTGTAAATTAGATTTAGGAAACCTATACCGTATTGGTTAAGGTTTCTATCTTGTAATTCTGCCCCCCATCCTATATAAGGTGGGCAGGAAGCCCTCTAGGGGGCATGAGACAACTAGATCGTCAGATCTATATACACTCGGCGGATTCAAATCCCCAAACAGGAGTAGGGTATTACCTCTCATTGAGAGGGCCTGAACCTGTCTAAATCCTTTGTCTCCGCATCCATCCACTTTTAGGTTTCGTGCGCTACCCCTTTTATTATTGCCGAATTCATGTTTCGACAATACCTATATTTAGATTCGTTATACTAAATATGTCGTATTCAATATTAGATTCACTTTTTCTAGGATGGAGAAAGTACATTAGTCAGCAAATTCCACGCGCAGGATAGTTAATTCAACCAAAGATGGGTCAGTATGCGTTGGCACTAGTATTTGGTGATCAAGAGTTCCAGCAGAGCCGGACTTGAAATGTAGTAATTCCATGGAATGAATAGCGCCCAAACGGGTCCGCGTTGGAGAAATGTAAACCGATCCTCTTCTCATCTCACCAGCAAGAATAAGTAACAACTGATCACTCCAATCTCCAGTGATCCAGTCCCTAGTCCCTACCAAACACTTGAGATGGCCTTCCAGTTGTTACCAGCCATGATCATAGCAGCTTCCTTGCTGCATGTCGCAGCAGCAGTTGGCAACGAGACCAGCAGCAACAACAACACAAGCTGCGCGCCGGCGAGATGCGGGAACCTGACCATCACGTACCCCTTCTCGCTCAGCGGCGTGCAGCCGCTCTACTGCGGCTACCCGGTGTTGGACCTCACCTGCGACAACCGAACCGGCCACGCCTTCCTCAGCAGGACGTTCCGGGAGCACCTGTTCCGCATCGACAATATATTCTACGAGAATAGTTCGCTGGTGGCAGCCGTGCAGACCACCTTCGCCGGCGACGCCGACTGCCCCATCCCGGATTTCAACGTGACATCCAGCCTCACTCCGTACCCATTCATCATCAGCAACATCTGTCGTCTACAACTGCACGCTTCCTGATGACACTCGGCTGCAACGGCCATATGCAAACCAGACGACGATGGGAGCTTACATCTCCGATCGGTGGAACAGCACGCCGCCGTCGGGGATTCCAGGGAACTGCATCTCCGTGAGCTTGCCGGTGCGTGGTGGAGATGGAATGAAGCTGTTAGATCAACACTACGAGCAATTGATCGCTGATACGATCGGTGGTAGAACTATCATTCATGGTGATGGTGGTGGGTCCATTGGTGGAAATGGTAATGGGTCAATTCAACAGTACGAGCGATTGATCAGTGATGGGTTCGTCTTGGAGTGGCAGAGGGCGGTAACAAGAGATCCAGACTGCGACGCATGCAGAAGAAACGGCGGGGAGTGCAGGTTCCAACAACTTATGTTCCAGTGCGTCAGCTGCCACGGGTTGATCTGCTCGAATTCGACATCTCCATGTAAGAACGCTCTCCCAATTTTCGTTTTCAAGACAATGAAACTAATTTCAGTACTCTCCCACACTTGCTTCTAGTACATGTTCTGTTTGAATTCATTAGTAGCAGTCCAACATCTACAACTCTTACCAATCTAGTAACAAAATAGACCAGGCAAAAATATAGTGCTTCAAAGTTCAAATTACAAAACTGTACCGCTAGGCTTACCGAAGTCAGGAAGGTGTTTTTTTTTTCCCGAGAATGCACAAAAGGCTTGTGCATCTTTTGTATTAAGATTTAGAGAAGTTTGAGATAACAACGGTCAACACTTAAAAAAAGGAAAATGGAAATTAACAAGAAGCCTATCTCTTGCGATATTACTTAAACGACCGCCCCGGGGGGGGGGGGGGGGGCGCACAGCACTCATCAACTGCGTCCTTGGCCACTTCCCTCCACGAGCGCTGTCGATGTTTGAACACCCTGTTATTGCGCTCTTTCCAAATTGACCAGGCGACCAAGATGACGACTGTGTCAAAGCCTTTTCTCTACTTCTGAGGGAACTATTTTCTTGCATTCATCCACCAGTTGATGAAGGATGTCTCCGGAAGCTGGCTTGGCAGCCAATGACACTTAGTCAGGAAGGTGCTTCAATTTCTCCAAAGAGATGCCCTCAAATTCCTTCTCTCTCTTTTTCATCAATGCAAATATGCAATCCAGAGATCCACTACTGTTCTGAATTTCCAATGTCAGACAGCTTGTTGCCTTGTTGTTGCTGAGTTTCTCTCTGTGTCAGATAGTAGCCGTTGTTAATTTAGATGCAGTTATGTATATAAACTGTTCGTGGCCTTTTTTAGAAAAAAAAAAGTGCTTTTATTCATGAATAAGAACTGAGCCCAACACACATCAACTACACAACACCACGAACCGTCAGACATTAGAGCAGTACGGAGAACCGTTATATATCTCACAATTAAGCCTAGCTAGCTTACATAAAAATCGAATTGATATAAAAAAGAATGTGAGCTTTTCTTCAATCGGTATTCCTTTGCATGTTTTAACAGCTGAAATTTTTCATTGATTTAACCGTAATTTGTTGCAGATTGGAGTAATCGGAAGCTGAATGTCAGGGCAATTTTGATAGGTATGTCTTTTGTTGGTGAATAAGCTATGTGAACATACAGAGAATCACATGATTCCGCTGGCACCCCAGCTCCATTCCATGCTCTATTATTGTGATACTAAAATGACTAATTCTAGTGCTATTTATTTTTGCCTCAGATTGCTAAATGTCATATTTTGGAACACCGCTAACTAAATTTTTTGGTGTCCTGATATTTTTCAAGATTTTTCACATTTACAAAGGATAATGTACATAACACAAGCACATCTTGTATGACAAGGATTCACTCATTTTTTGTATAACTCTCCAGCTTCCTTGTCCGCTACAGCTGGCGTGGTTTTTATGTGTCTCGTTTGGATAATGCACCGACGGAAGCAAACACTTGGTTTTATCATTCACCACAAGTACACTGGAAATGAGTCAAATACAGAAGAGGAATTAAAGAGATACCAGTCTCTGTCTCCCAAAAGGTACAGGTACTCAGACCTGAAGAAAATAACGAAATGTTTCAAGGAAAAATTAGGAGAAGGTGGGTTTGGTACGGCATTCAAGGGTAATCTAAAAGATGGCCGTATGGTTGCTGTGAAACTTCTAAAAGGGGCTAAAGGCAATGGAGAGGAATTCCTAAATGAGGTTACTAGTATTGGTAGGACATCTCATGTCAACATTGTTAATTTACTTGGCTTTTGTTTAGAGAGATCTAAGCGAGCCCTCGTTTATGAGTACATGGCTAACGGTTCTTTGGGGAAGTATATTTATTCTGAGAGTTTGAGGTTAGCTATTGGATTGGAAAGTTTACAGAAAATAGCAATTGGCGTTGCACGAGGATTGGAGTATTTGCATCAGGGTTGCAGCACCCGGATCATCCATTTCGATATCAAGCCTCACAACGTCCTTCTTGATGAAGACTTATGTCCTAAAATTGCAGATTTTGGATTGGCAAAACTTTGCCACCTCAAGGATAGTGCCATCTCAATGGCTGAAGCAAGAGGTACCATCGGTTTCATTGCACCAGAAGTATTTTCAAGAGGCTTCGGAGTTGTGTCAACTAAGTCAGATGTTTACAGTTATGGAATGATGCTGTTAGAGATGGTAGAAGGAAGGAAAAATGTTAAAACAAATACTGATAATTCTAGTGCATATTTCCCCAACTGGATTTATGATCATTTAGCGAAAGATTTGCAAAGCCATGAAGTCACATGCGAGAATGAAGAGATTGCGAGGAAGATCACACTAGTTGGCCTGTGGTGCATACAAACTGCCCCCAGGAAATCGTCCTTCAATGAGTAAGGTCATAGAAATGCTGGAGAAGAACATCAACGAATTGGAGATGCCCCCGAAGCCGATCCTTTCATGTCATGCAGCGCCATCGTATTTTTCATCTTATTCTTAACTAAGAATTTTCTTTTGGGATGATTCATTCTATATATGTTCCGCCACTCAGCTAAAGTAAATGAATGGAAGTATGTTTTTGTTAAGCCATTAAATTTATTACTTATCGCAACAACTAAACTCACCCCCAAAAGCTCAACAGCCTGTTTGGCAAAGTTGCCCCAAAAGCTTAACAACCTGTTCGGCAAAGTTGTTTTAGCAGAGGTGCACAATTCAGTTCGATAGATAGATAGGTGTCCTCATCAAGAATTAATCACATACCTGGGGTCATCTGCAGCCAGCCCAGTCTGGAAGTTTGTTGCAGAAGCACACCACCTTCATCCGCCCCTTCTTGTCACGCGAGGAGACGGCGGTTGTCCTGCTTCCCTCACAGCCCCTACCTGCAACAGCACGACACTATCGGTATTGGTCTCATCAGCGAGGTCGATCTGAGCCAACGCCGCTGAAATCCGATGCCCTGATTCCCTAGACGACGGCAGCAGTGTCGCGCTGAAGAGACGGAGGCGGCGGATGGATAAAATAAAACCTACCGGCCGGCGGCCGCCGTCTTGATGCAACAATATACCCTCAAGAGCGTGTAAACCAAGCAAGAGGTGAGACGAGAGCCACCAAAACCTCGAGGGAGTTCGCCGACGGGAGAGGCCGCCGGCGGCGGCGGCGGCGGCGATGCAGGAATCAGCCGCCATCCATCGAGGGGGTTTTTAACTATTTGCCACTCTTACGAAGCGGCACTCTTGACATCGCCACTCTTCCAAATTTACAGAAATACCACAGGAGAGAATGAATTTTTACAAATTACCAATTTTATCTAAGGGAAGGGCCATGTCAGCTTTACCAGCACTAAAGGGGACTTCAAATGACTCTTTTGCCCCTGATTTGACCATTGTAGCAGTTGACTATACACCAAATATTTGAGAAATTATATATAGACGTATCTAAGAAAAATACGGTTTAGCATATAAAAAAGGGCTTATCATGGGCAAAAATACATTAATTTGAATCAGATCACCATAATATAAGGAATATTGTATATTATGGTATATAATTAATTTATAATTAATATTGTATATTATTTTTTTCTCAACTCCAAACTTTAACTTTCTTGTTCTTCGTTAGCATGTTTTTCAAACTCTTAAATTATACGTTTTTGATAAAAAAAATTTGTGTAAAAGTTGTTTAAAATATTCAAATAACTACATTTTTTAATTTTATAATAATTAATATTTAATTAGTTATGTGCTAATGAGATTTCTCGTTTTACGTGCACCGAAAATTTTTCTATCAATTGAGAGATCGAACGGGGCAAAATTATTATAACGGAATTGCTATAAAGATGGCGACAATTTTTTTTTCACAAATCTTAGTCGGTTTCCGTGTCCATTGGATTTGTTCACATGCAAACGCTGCGGCAGCTGCATCCACCTGATCTTCTGATTGGTTTTATATACGGAATTGTTATGTCTTAGTCGATAGTTTTCTTGAAAAAAAATACCACTTTTCACGATAATGCTCTACTCCGGGCGACCGGTGCGGGGGGGAGCCGGATCGGGCGCTCCCCCCGCGCGCCCCTTCCCCCACGTGCGTATCTGCTGGACCCACCTACTTCTCTCTCTTTTTTTCTACCAAAGATGTTTCATCTAGTATACTTACAATGTTTTACTATTTATAGATCTAATATTGCATTAAATTAAAATATTCTTTTGCAACAAAAAACCCACATATTTTGGAAACTCTCTATTAAGGGAATTTGGTTTATTTTTTGTTCCACTAAAAATGTTTCACCTAGTGTACTCACAATATTTCACTATGTATAGATCTAACGTTGCAGTGAACAAAACATTCCATTGCAACAAAAAAAACGCACATATTTTGGAAACCCCCTATTAAGAAAATTTGGTTTATTTTTTGTTCCACCGAAAAATGTTTCACATTGTGTACTCACAATGTTTCACTATGTATAGATCTAATGTTGCAGTGAACTGAAACATTCTTTCACTATTTGCTGAAACATTGTTTTTATATAAGGTGAAACAACACCCCGATTTAAACGAGTGAAACATTTTCGATCTACTTAGTGAAACAATTCCGATATATCTGGTGGAACATCGTGCAACATTTAAAAATAATTCAATAATAAGCTATTTTTTTTCGTCGTAATATATCCATATGTGGTCTTGTTTTGAAGATTTAATTGCAATGAATTTAATGGTGCAATCGGATTATGATTTGGATAAGTAATTTAGGAGAAAAAATCAGTTTAAAGTAGTTTTGCACGTAAATCGGGTGCTAGCGCCCGATTTCCCTAGCCCCGGATCGGTCCGGGGCGACCGATCCGTAGGCGTTCCCCACTTTTCATCATATATTTATATAAATTTACACAGTAGTTACATCCCACTTACATATGTAATTTTGAGACTTACATCGTAAATAAACTAAAATTACATATGTAATGTAGGGACTTACAATGTAAATACATGCCGACTATTTTTTGGTGAAAAATATGGCGCTATAAATATAGCTACTCCCTTATTATAAACTCTTATTAATACTAAATGTCACGCTGTGAGTACAGCTAAGTTATCTATAACTTTCATCTATTTAAATCAACCGATTGAGATTATTGTTTGTAAGAGTTTTGCAAAAAAAAGATTAGTACATGCAGTGATCTTGTTTAAATTCAGGCACCCCATCTCAAGGTCTCCGTTCCTCGTTTAGAAGACATTTGAGATTTCCTTTAAAAAAAGAAAGAAAGAAAGAAAACATGAGATATTTCCAATTCCCATGGCGCAAACTAAGGCCCTTTTTAGTTCCTACATCGAATGTTTGGATACATGTATGAAGTATTAAATATAGAAAAAAAACTAATTACACAGATTGCGTGTAAATTGCGAGACGAATCTTTTAAACCTAATTGTTCCATAATTTGACAATATGGTGTTACAGTAGATATTTACTTATAATGGATTAATTAGATTTAATAAATTCGTCTCCTAGTTTACAGGCGGAATCTGTAATTTGTTTTCTTATTAGTCTACGTTTAATACTTCAAAGTATTCGCATATCTAGTATGGCACGCCCGAACTTTTCGCGCCTGAATCTAAACACGGCCTAAACCAACGTGATCGAAGAAAAGGTCAGACTTGCGTCACCAGTACACAACGCGTCATCGATCGATTCAATAATTTATGAACTCCCTGTTCGTTACCAGTACAAATCTTCCGAATCTCATCTCATGCTCCAACCTCCAATAGTCCAATGGCCCCTACTTGCTTTTTCGCCTTATACTGGTTACCGCTGATGCTCGCCGCGGCGGCGAGGGGAGCCGAGGAGGAAGGAGGAGGAGGCTGCCTGGGCAGCCAGAAATGCGGCCACCTGAATATCTCCTCTCCGTTCTGGATCACCCAGGGCCAGGCGGATAAGCCGTGTGGTCGTCTGGATTTCCAGGTATATTGCAACTACTCCACCGGCGTCGCAACTCTTCGAAGCTCTACGGACACCGGGTTTGATATCATCAACATATCATATGGGGACCGTACTATGCTCGTCTTTGATGTCCATAAGCTAGCTCGCCTGAATAGCTCCACCGGCTGCAGTATCCCAGTGTTTAACACCTTCGCCAAGCTGCCCGTCACGTTTACAATCAGCCCTTCCAATCACAACCTCGTCTTCTACAACTGCACCAAGGCGCCGCCGGCGGAGCAGCAGCAAAAACTGGGGCTCGTGGAGACGAGATGCGGTAACAACACGTTTGCTCGGCTGGGAGGGCGTTACGACGGGGAGGGCGACTACGACAAGTACTATTTGGAAGGCTGCAGCAGAAACAGCACCGTCTTCTCGCCGGTGCTGAAGCCGCCTGATGGCAAGGCGAACGCCAGCAGGTATGTGGAGCTCGTGCGTGGAGGCTTCCTCATAACATGGGGGAACCTGCCACCGCCAGTGCCTCCACCGCCAGAGCTGCCAGTGACATCTTCTGGTAAGTTCACCCTCCCAGCCTCCCTGAAAGGCTGAAACTATTACTGAAACTATTACGAACACGTTTATTGGCATCTCTTCGATTCTTTCCTCCTGCCATTTCAAACAAGAAAACCACAGCGGTTGGAGACCAGCTAACCGGCCATGTCCTATAGACGAGCGAATAGATCAGTAACAAGTCACAATAAGAAGATGAGTTAGCTTCTTTAAGCACATGATATTAATTCATTATATACTCTATTCACAACCCCGTCCCTCTTCGCCCTTATCTCGGTTACCCTCAGAAGAACCGGCAGTTCAAGTTCCAGATCATCGACATCTTCTACAGCAACAGCTCCTTGCTTGTCACCGATGTCCGAAAGATGGACGACTTCGACAACTCCAGTGGCTGCCATGTCCCGAGGTCCAATACCTCCTCCAAGCTTCGGTTGGCCATTCTCGATTAGCCGTGTCAACCATAATCTTATCTTCTACAACTGCACCAAGCCTCCGACGGCGGCGGTGCGGCGTCTCCTCGGTCTCGTCGAGACGAAATGAAGCAACAACACGTTCGCTCGCCTCGAGGAGAGTTACAACGAGTCTGTACACTTACTAGAGGGCTGCGACGCCGTGATCGTGCCGGTGAGGGGCAGAGATGGCGAGGCAAACGCGAGCAACTACGAGCAGCTCATCAGTGATATGGTTTCCTCTTGACATGGCAGCCGCCGCCGCCGCAGAAGTCTGGTAAGTTCGTTCGTGAGCTTATCCATTTGATCAAGTATCTTCATTCATGAGCTCATCCATTTGAGCAAGTATCCAACAGTGCACGCGCTTAGTCTACATGAACCTCCAAATAATATGGTGGCAACTTGGAACCAAGTGGTAAACCAGTCAGTACTAATAATGAAAATCGAAGCATCTATTAAAAAAGTTTGAAACAAATATGGAAAAAAAAAGTTTTACCAACCAACACCGGACTTTGGCAGCTCGCCTTGCTCCACGTCGGAACTTCCAAGGTACTTTCTCCGTTTCATAAAAAACCAATCTAGTATCGAATATGACATATTTTAGTAGAATGAATCTGGACATATGTCATAGAATATATCATATCCGGTTCTAGATTCGTTTTTTATAGGACGGAGAAAGTATATGCAGCACAGTCAAGCATGATAAGGTAATGGAAGACAGGAAGAGAAAATAGTAGTATTACGCACTAGTGAATTGTTTTTTGTCTTTCCTAAAAGGCAGAGCTGCTAACGTCTTGATCTGAGCTAGTGCGTGACTTGCCGTAGCTCTAAATGCGGTCACCGCTTGTGGACCAGTGTGTTGGCGGCCTCCTTCCAAGTGGTGTCAAACTGTCAATACTGCTATAGTCTACAGACGACACGGTCTACTCTAGTTTTGGCTGTGTTTAGTTCAGCGTAAAGTTTAGATTTTGGTTGAAATTGAAGATGATATAACTGAAAAGTTGTGTGTGTATGACAGGTTGATGTGATAGAAAAGGACTGAAGTTTGGATCCAAACTTTGAATCTAAACACAGCCTTTGTTCATGGCCTGAACACACAAATTTAGAGACCAAATTCCGAGTTTTTTCAGGCGGTGCAAGTTGAGCCAAATAAGTGGCAATCCACACGCGCAATAGTGTTATTTCGCTAAAATGAACCGATATGCACGCGGAAGTTTCCACACGTCAAACAATAACAGAGCTTTCAACTCGGACTAGCTGTTCTACTGCATAAGGCACCATCTCCGCATATAGTACTAGCCAGTAGCAGCCACGCTCAATCAGCTGCACATCTTCAGTATACTCGTGGCATCAATTATCTTCTCGACTAGCGTCGCCCAAATCTGCTCCGCGTCGATCGAGGAGTAGTACACCGTGGTCTTGATCACTTGCACTACAGGAGATGCATCTGTTTCCTGCCCCTGCATCTGTCGTGCTCTGCTTAGCCATGCTACTGCTCACTCTCCCAATAGCTAGCTCCACTGTTGATGCCATAAACACGACCAACACCACATCGCCGTTCTGCGAGCCGGCGAGGTGTGGGAACCTTACCATCGGCTATCCGTTCTGGCTCGCCGGCAAGCATCCGCCGGAGTGTGGCTACCGAGCTTTTCAGGTCACGTGCGACCACAGAAATGCTTCCCTCAAGAACGGGTTCTGGACGTACCAAATCCAGCACATCTTCTACCACAACAGCTCCTTCATGGTCACAAACGAGCAGTTGACGGACGGCCAGTGCGTCATCGAGAGCTTTGTCAACGCCTCCTCCGACCTCGGCCTCACGCCGTTCAAGATTAGCCCCATAAACCGGGAGCTCATCTTCCTCTACAACTGCAACCAGAGTCGGTTGCAGCAGCTTCCACCTTCTTGGGCGCCCGTGAGTTGTGCGGAAAATGAATCGCCCAACTCGTATGCCTGGCTTGCGGGGAGGTACAAGCCTGACGACGATTTGAGACAACAGCCGGGGAACTGCACGGTGTCGATGATCCCGGTGCTGGGGTACGACGGTGCAGCGGCCAAGGACTACGAGCGGCTCATCAAGGGTGGGTTTCTTCTCGACTACACGGCAGGGCCGGACGACTGCGAAGATTGCTCGAGGAGCGGCCGCTGGTGTCGGGTGAATGTCACCTACGATGGGCTAGACTGCCAATGCCCCGAAGGCATAACGTCCTCCGGGTTCATGTGCGGTAAGTTCGTTTATAAGCTGCCGTTTCCTGGCAGATATTGAGCCATGTGTGGAAGTACTGTGAATTTCTCTGATATCCTGCTTCCAAATAGGGCCATATTCATTTCTTACCCAGCACCAGCAGCGGCTTTCTTGGTTCCAAATTGCATACTGCCCATTCAGACGACATAAAGCCCATGGCCATAACCTATCATAAGGCTGCATCTGGAACACAAGATAAGTTTCACTTCAAAACAAAATAGAGGAATCTATCTATCTATCTATTATATTATTAAAGGAATAGAAAAAGGAGCCTCCACGTTCGCTCTCATGGCCTAGAAATTCTCACATTAATCAGAGAAAAAGAAAAGGCAGAGTCCATATAGAAATACAATTTAGAAATAGATGAAATTCGGAATTAAAAAATAAGGAATATTAGAAGAGGAGACTAGAGTCCATATAGAAATACAATTTAGAAATAGTTAAAATTCGGAATTAAAAAATAAGGAATATTAGAAGAGAAGACTAGAGTCCATATAGAAATACAATTAGAAAATTACTGAAATTCGGAATTAAAAATAAGGAATATTAGAAGAGTAGACTAGAGTCCATATAGACAATTAGGAAATAACTGAAATTCGGAATTAAAAATAAGGAATGTTAGAAGTAGAGTATAGAGTCCATATAGAAATACAATTAAGAAAAAAAATCGGAATTAAAAAATAAGGAATATTAGAAGTATAGTACAGAGTCCATATAGAAATACAATTAAGAAAAAAAATTCGGAATTAAAAAATAAGGAATATTAGAAGTATAGTATAGAGTCCATATAGGAATTTAAAACTAACTAAAATTTAGAACAAACATAATAAAATTAAAAGTAGAGTTTAGAGTCCGTATAAAAATACAATTTACAAATAACTAAAATTCGAAATTAAGAAAAACATAGGAAGAAGAGTTTAAAGTCAATATAGGAATACAATTTAGAAGTAACTGAAATTCGAAAATAAAAATTAAAGAATATCGAAAGATGAGTTTAGAGTCCACATAGAAATACAATTAGAAATAATAAAAATTCAGAAATAAAAATAAATAATATTGGAAGGAGAGCATAGAGTCCATATAGAAATACAATTTAGAAATAGTTGAAATTCGGAATTAAAAAATAAGGAATATTAGAAGAGGAGACTAGAGTACATATAGAAATACAATTAGGAAATAACTGAAATTCGGAATTAAAAATAAGGAATATTAGAAGTAGAGTATAGAGTTCATATAGAAATACAATTAGAAAATAAATGAATTTCGGAATTAAAAATAAGGAATATTAGAAGTAGAGTATAGAGTCCATATAGAAATACAATTAGGAAATAACTAGAAATTCTCATATTAATCGGAGAAAAAGAAAAAAACATAGTCCATATAGAAATACATTTAGAAATAGCTGAAATTCGGAATTAAAAGATAAGAAATATTAAAAGAGGAGACTAGAGTCCATATAGAAATACAATTTAGAAATAGTTGAAATTCGGAATAAAAAAATAAAGAATATTAGAAGAGGTGACTAGAGTCCATATAGAAATACAATTAGGAAATAACTGAAATTTGAAATTAAAAATAAGGAATATTAGAAGTAGAGTATAGAGTCCATATAGAAATACAATTAGGAAATAATAGAAATTCGGAATTAAAAATAAGGAATATTAGAAGTAGACTATAGAGTCCATATATATAAATACAATTATGAAATAATAGAAATTCGGAATTAAAAATAAGGAATATTAGAAGTAGACTATAGAGTCCATATATAAATACAATTAAGAAATAATAGAAATTCGAAATTAAAAATAAGAAATATTAGAAGTAGAGTATATAGTCCATATAGGAATTTAAAACTAACTAAAATTCAGAATAAACATAATAAAATTAAAAGTAGAGTTTAGAGTTCATATAAAAATACAATTTACAAATAACTAAAATTCAAAATTAAAAAAAATATGGGAAGAAGTGTCTAAATTAATATAGGAATACAATTTAGAAGTAACTGAAATTCGAAATTAAACATTAAAGAATATTGAAAGATTAGTTTAGAGTCCACATAAAAATACAATAAAAAATAATAAAAATTCAGAATTAAAAATAAATAATATTGGAAGAAGAGGCTAGAGTCTACATAGAAGTACAATTTACAGTTAGCGAAAATTCGGATTTAAAAAAAAGAAATATTAAAAGACGAGTCTAGAGTCAATATAGGAATATAATTTACAAATAACTAAAATTTAATATTAAAAATAATTAATAACTAACATGTATATAAAATACAATATGAATATTACACATCAGTAGTTTCGTAAAGTTAGTTCAAAATTTAAAATTATGTTGTCATT